GTTCAAAGAGTAAAAATTTAAGGCAGCAACACTTGGATAAATTATCTCTAACCTTCATCTGTATTTACTACATTCTGCTGAAGATTCATTTCCAGGGTATAGAATCCAACTGTCTTAACTTAAATCTTATGTCCCTTCCTTGAAAAGTGGAGAGAAAGAAACCTTTATTTCTTTCCTTACAAGTCTTCACCTATTGGGATAGTGGTAATTGGTAATTCCTCAAAGCGAAATAAGTATGCTTTGTTGTAAGCACAACAAAACTGAAAGCAAGAAGGATAACAAACCAAAACCAAAGTCCACTATTGATCAAAGATGAGTCAGACTTTTTATCTGTTCTTGGGAAACTTACAATTTTAGTAGAAAAGATTAGACTCCAAATCTTCATTGGATTTAGAGTCCACCCTTAATCAGTATAGCCTTATCTTAAATTACCTAATTGTATTTTCAGAGACCCTATTTCCAAATAAGGTTTCATTCTGAGTTCTTCACGGACATGAATATAGGGATTAACACTATTCAAGTTATTACAATTTCTCAAAATGTAAAATGAGTTTAGACTTTTACCTCATGTGAAAATCAGCTCTGGATGATTTTGCAAATAAGCAAATAATGCAAATATATGTATTATTTTATATAATTTAAAATAATCTTGTGATAGAAATATGCTGGAGTGGGGGGAGTAAATGCAGACAACTGATTGAACACCAATAAAATTATTAAAAATAAAATAAAATAAAATTGTCAAACTTAAAAAAAGTAAGAAAATAAAGAATACTTATGCAAGACTCTATAAGTCAGACTGGCATTCAGAAAGAAGACCCTCCCATCTTCCTGGAAGATGGCTCTCCCACCTTCCTGGAGGAAAGACCTGAAGGAGGCCCTGCTAAGGGCCTATAATTCATCCCAGTTGAGCCTTTTCACTCAACACCTCTCTTAAATGAGTTTTTTCTTCTTAGGCAAAGAGGAAGTCAAGCATAACCAAAAAAGAGAAAACAACAACAACAGGAAATTAGTACTGCAATACCTAGGCCTTAACAGCCTTAATATTCATTATGGTGTGACATAAGTCATCTATGAGTGTCTGAATTCCTGGGTAAAAAAAAAGAGAAAGGGAAAATGACTTTGAGAAAAAATTTCTGACACTTAATTCTTCATTAAAAGTCTCATTTCTGGAGCAATTTAATACATATTTCATCATATACAAAAGATATGAAACTTAAAAAAGGAATATGCACATGATAAGCAAGTTTGGATCTGATACTGGCATATCTTAACTCAGATATGAGACAAAGATCTATTTAAATTGGCTTTCTCAAATATAAACACAATTTGCTGTTATTGTGTTCAGAGGCTATGTATCTGAAAACTTCCTTTTATTTAGGCATTGTACTGCAAAATAAAAAATATTTTCTCTGTATTACTTTATTGGTGAAATTAGTTTGGGGGCTACAGAGAAATTAAGCAAACCTAGAGATTGATTCTTTGTAAGCTTAGAGATTCCACCATGCTTAGAAAAATTAAGCTGTTTTCCACTGATTTATGTAAAGAGTAATTAACAAATTAATACATTTGAAGATAAGAAAAAGCAGGAAGCACTAATGTATTTTTGTTGTTTGAAAATTACTGAAAGTAATGGCACAGCTAATCTACTATAAATTTCTTTTAATTAAATAGTGGTTGGAATTTTTTTTCCCAGTTCAATCTATTTTATGCTATTCTTGCATGTATTTCATGTTTACATGCTTGGGGAAGTGTTCTGATATTGCCTCTATTTTCTGCATAACATTATATTTATTAATTACAGAGTAGTTACTCTGTGAGTTAGAATGTTTTAGTAAGACCTGTTGCTTTAAAATGAAAAGATATTTCCAATGTTATTATTTATTTCAAATGCTAGCAATTAGTGTAATAACTGGTCAGATATGTTTAGAGTGATAAAATCTCATCATTGTGAGACAAGTCATGAAATACCAATAAACCTAAGCAGCATAATTTGGGACACTGTTTATATTGAGAAGTGACACTATTTATTAATTTATTATAACTTGCATGAATATACTCATGACTAGAGTATAAATACAAGTAGCACAATACTCAATCCATATGGTAATAAAATAAAAGTGTTGCTTAACAACTTTGCTGTCAAGTGTATCAAAAGACAAACATGATGAAATAAATCTTACTGCACATTGTGCATTTCTCTTCCTGGAATATTGTGAGAACTGAACAAATGAGGTGGTATAGCTTCAGAAATTTAGAACTTTACAATTGCCATGATATGTAACCATAGATAAACATTGCTTTTCCCTATGGAATACTGAAGCTTAGTCAGTTGTGGCCCTAGTAGGGAGAGAGCTCAGTCTCTGATTAAATTGGAGTTTTCATGATTCACAATGACTGCAAACAACTTTGGATGGTTTCATTCCCACTTAGACTTCCAGACCTGTCCCAGAACTGACCCAGCTTCCCCAGTGACACTCATCCTTCCTAGATAAGACTAATAGCCTACACAGAACTACACTGAAAGAGCAGACTCCTGAACTCTCCTCAGTTTTACTTCCCTTGATTTTTTTATCACACCAGGTTCCTGAAGCTATTAACTTTATGACCCACAGTGTTTTGTAGAGCACTCCCTTCAGACCCTACACTGTCTTGCCAAATGCCATAAAGTGTTTTGTTTTGTTTTGTTTTGTTTGTTTTGTTTTGTTTTTCCATAAAGATAGCTAAATCATTCTTCCTGGATGATAGTGATTTGAGCTAGAAATGGTAGGGTGGTCATGCATAGAGTTACTAAATGGGCACCTGGAACATTAGTGAGAACATTTCTGATTAAATGTATCTACCATAAAATGCCTTCAGCTTTTACCTGGGCCAATAATATTTGTTTCATAACAGCAAATGATATTCCTGCACATGTTGCTAGGTTTGTCCTCAATGGCTCTCCTCATTCTTCTTACTACAGAAGGGAATAACTTTCTCCAGAAATTAGTCAGTTTTCCTCATTAATGTGAGGGTGAACAGCAGGTATAGAAACAACCGAAAAAGGAGAAAGCTGTTTTCTCTCCTAATTTCTCCTTCAACATTTAAATATGAATTATAGCAAACTCTAGGCTTCTGTTCTGGAAGATTTATCATTCTAAGCAAAGGAAAATCTTCTCTTCCTCCCTGTTTAAGCAAACAAAGAATTCTAAACTATTATTTCATTTATTGAGTATTTTGTATTACGTTATTTTAATATGTAAGTAATTACACATAAACATCTAATATTTCATTGGTTATTTCTTGTATTACCTTTTATGCCCTTGAACATTTTTTTACATTTTATATCTATTTCTCTCTCTCTCTTGTCCTCTGTGTGACAAAACTTTTTCTTTTTGCCTTTTTGCTAATTTATTTTTACAATTTTTGTTTTAAATTTTCATCAACTCTTTCCTATTCTCTGATGGACCCTTTTTCTTTGCAGTCTGTTCTTTTTTTTTTTAAGATTTTATTTATTTAGTTTTAGAGAGGGAAGGGGGAGAAAGAGAGAGAGAGAGAAACATCAATGTGCGGTTGCTGGGGACCGTGGCCTGCAACCCAAGCATGTGCCCTGACTGGGAATTGAACCTGAGACACTTTGGTTCACAGCCCGTAGTCAACCCACTGAGCTATGCCAGCCAGGTGCAGTCTCTTCTTATTATATGGATACTGTATTATCCACAATCTCTGTAAGATAGTAAACTTTAAAAACACTATATTTTCTTTCCTAAACTTCATTTTTGAGTTTCTGTTGTTTTTACTTGTCCATCTCTTTCTTTCCTTTTTATTCTGCTAATTGTTCTCAAATAATTTCTAAAACATTGCTTTGCCTTCATGCAACTGAATGATGGCATGTATGACAATCTATGTAACTGTCATAGAGTTTCTCTGTGCTCTTATGATCACAAACGCATTAAATGAGACTACATATGCTCATATGTAGCTCATGCTTTTCCCTGAAAAAAGAAAAAAGAAATGGCTGCCAGTTCTGGGTGTACAAGAAAGGTGTGCAGACCTACAGAATTCATCTGAGGGCATTTGGATGTGTTCTCAACTAGCTATTGCTAATATGAGAAAGACTTGATTTAAGATGGCAGCTCCAACACTAGCCTCTTTTGTAGGTCATCTGATGTCTTCAGAAAGCAGTAGCTTCCAAAAGTGACAGTTTCACCTCAGACTATACAAGATGTTTTGTTGGGATAATGGAAGAAAATATAAGCATACTACTGCAGAAAATCACATTGATTAATATTTTCCCAGTAAAATGCCTCTTGCTTTTCAGTATCCAATCTTCAGAGAACATTTATATATGTCAATACAACTTTTTAGTTAATATTTTATAGAAAAATATATGACATTCTGAATACTCAATACACTGTAAACCAAATGATGGAAATTATCCTGAGATACATTTAAATATAATTGGTAATATCTCAGAATCACATATGGATGTTTTTAAAGACCTTACAAGTATCAACAAAAAGGATGTGTATATACGCTGAAGCTCAGAGTACATGTTATGTACTCACAGCAACTATTTGTTAGTAACTATATTTTGTAGATATAAAGAAGTGATATGCCTTGCATATTACATTTAAGTATTTATTATATATAGTTAGGTTACCATGTTTTAGTTACATTTTAGGAAATTGGGAGTTTTGAGTTGGCACAGTATAATGAAGATATGTTCACAATTAATATTTTTACATGGAATATCAGATTTTTCAGAGATGTGTTCTAATTTACACTGAATGAAGCAAGTATTAGAATTTCTATTTGGACTTCTTTTTTTATTCTTTTTAAGGATTTCTGCTCTTTTTCTTACAATGCCAGGCTTGGGTACTGCAGGCTTGGGTGAAAAAATAACTGAATCCAAGAACAACAGCATACACAGCCCATCCTGAAAATGGCACAGAAATGACATCAAGACTCTGATCACAAAGATAGGAACCTCTTAAGGGGGCCCCAGGTTCCTGAGGAACATGTGCTTTTCCAAGAAGCATAACACAAAGGGACTGAAGATGATGAAGGCCAAAAACGCCAAGTCCATGAGCACACATGTTGAGGCTATCAAGGTCCTTGTAAAGCATAAGGTCAAGCCCAAGGTCCCTCAAGGCTGCAATCACAATGTCAGTGGACTCATCTATACTGCTCACCTCAGGTTTGGGAAATGTGTCCGTGCCCACATCACCAAGGGTCTCTTGCTCTGTCAGCCAAAGGTCAAGGCCAAGGCTCAAAGCAAGCCCCAGGCTGCAGATGCAGATGCAGATGTGGGTACAGCTCCGGCTACATACAGCTCAGCCCAAGTCCCCATGAAGTCTTCATAGTAGACACCTCTGATTGCTGATGTGAGTACACAAGAACTGGTGTGATCCCTGAGCTGCTCTCTGAATGGAGCTGGTGTCCTCCTGTGGTATTTTTACAAATAAACCTGAGGCAGGATCTGTTTAAAAAAAAAAGAATTTCTATTTGATGTTTTATAATGCATAGCACACAAATATGTAATTCAAAAATAAATAATATACCTGTGACCTAGGCTGAGAAAATGCTTTTTTCTAAAAATAGTGTGATAGAAATGGATATAATAAGATTTCACTCATATGTGAAATCTAAAGGACAAAATAAACAAACAAATAAAATAGAAACAGACTCAGATATGTAGAACAGATTCATGGTTGCGAAAAAGAAGGGGAATGGGTGAAAAAAAGGGGAGGGATTAAGAAATACAAACTGGTAGTTACAAAATAATCATGCGGATATAAAGTACAGCATAGGGAATATAATCAATATTTTAATAACTATGTATGGTAGCAGGTGAGTACTGGAAATATCAGGGGGAACACTTTGTAAAATATGTAACAACTTTGCTACATACCTGAAACTAATACAAAATAATATTGAATGTAACTGTAATTCAAAAATTAAACAGAAAAAAAGAAATGGGTGGTAGACTACTATACTAGAGGGAATCTTTCTAATTCCAACCTGGAGACCAACAGAGCTGTCATAGAAGCAGGCTTAGAGATGAATGTGGGCAATATGGGATGTTGTTCACATTCAGTAGTTAAGTCTTTAGTCCATTATACTATTTTCTGACCCTTTTCCCAGTGCTGTTCTCCTTTTTGCCCACTTTGGGAAACTCTGTTGTGAAAAATTCTTTTTGCTTTCTCTACCCTTGTCTCTCTATGGTTCTCTCTGTTCTGAATTATCCATCATTATTACTCTTCCCAGATACCTCTTTTTATTTAGCTGCTATATCCATGCCACTCTCCCATGTCAACTCTAGTATGTTTATAAGTTTATTATCTCCTGGAAAACTTTAGTCTCATTTAATGTGTTTGTGAGATAGAGGAGAGGTAATCATGTGGCTTGATTACCCTCTTCAAGGCAGATATCTTGACTTCAGAGACTTCAACAGGACATGGACATAACCTGCTTCAGAGACCCTGAACCCAATGGGCCAACAGACATACACACACCCAAAGGGCCAGAAAAACCCCAACCCATTACGTTCCCTTTCTAATTTGGAAGCATTATTAAAGTTATGTTCGTCAAAAGGTTTCAAGTTGAGGCAAAATTTCTACTCTGATGGTAGGCTGCCTATCATCAGGAGTATTTCTTATTCAAATAAAAAAAATAAGTTATTCCACTGCCAAGAACAGTACATTTGTGGTAATGGTGGTGATATGTATGCAAGTTCTATACATATTAAATTCAACCTGAAGATTTCACTCCACCACTCAAGGAATCATCTTGTGAAACTAGAGAAAGGACTGGTAATTCCAAAATGGAGCAGGTAGATTCAATTCTGATGCAGTAAAAAAACAATTGGGAACCATGACTTTGTTTTTCTTCCCCCATCAGGATGCTTGATGAAATAGAAGGTGTCCATTTTCAAATTAAAATCTTTGACTCAAAGCCAGCTCCTCTAGTTTAATCTCCACCCCAGTGTTTATTTGTGTAAATACAGCCTGATGACCTGATTCATTTCTGATTTGTTCTATTTAACCAACTGCATAATCATACTATAAGAATATAGCCTTGATGGATTAAAAATTGAGTGGAGAAAGGTACGGGAGGGTGTTGCAGCTAATTTCAATGTAAGATGGGCAATTAAGTTAAGTATGATTGGGTCAGTAAAACCCCATAGAAAATACAGATAACTTATAGTTTCAAGATGGGGAAAACTAAGGACAAAATCTCTTTCCTTGTGACTGCATTCTCAAAAATAATTTGACAAATGTGACAGGGTCCAAAAATTATGGGGATAAAAATGTCTAACCTTTAGCCTAATATCTATTTATAATCTAATTAGAATAAAATAATGCAATAAAATATTCCAGAATGAAAAAATGCACTAGAGAATAAAAATCAGGGAAGTTTGGAACCAGATACTAACAAGACCACAGTAGGGATACCACCCAGTTGTAGGAACCTTGTTAAAGCAAAGGAAGTTAAAAGAAATAAGAGAGAATAACTTTGAGCTACAATGTAAGCCAAATAAAAGGGGACCCGTCCACATAAAAATGTTAAATATAAAAATCACAATCCTTTTTAATGAATAACATCACATGAAGGTATGGTAGACCTGAAAAGGCAGAAAATACGGACTGTGTGGCTAATGGAACATGTTTCAAACCATAGTTTTGGATTAATCATGGTCCTAGAGCATTACTTGTACACTGAAATGTCTCCCTACATGAGATACAATGACTGTGGAAGTGGATTAAATAGAACAATGAAAATTGAAAGCAGGATATCTGGAATAGTGCTGGGGACAGATTTTAGTTTCGAGGACAAAGCCAACAGTTAAACAAGGCTGCTTCTATCTTTGACATGTAACAGGAATATATTCTAACAAAAAATTGTGGGTCAACATGAAAGGTCCATTCTTGCTAATTAACAGGAAAAGAAATAGCATCCAGGAGGTGATTTTGAGATGTTTAGCATATGCTTTATAGCATGTCCATTCAGTCCCATGGGGCCTAATGAGCCACAGGTGTGATTGGGCTAGTTTAAGGCCAATGTAAGTGCCTGGAAAGGGTCCAAGGACAGTAATGGGAGAAAGTAAGAGTACAATGGGTCTGACTGCACTGAGACTGGTGGGTTAGGCTATTCTACAAAACAATACAATCAATACATGAAAGAATACTTTTACAATGACTCATATTAAATCATCATGTTGTGCACCTTATGTAGTTTACAATTTAATTTGTTAATAATATCTCAATGAAGCTGGGGGAAAAAACCCCACAAAGGAATCGTCAATTATTCAGTTCATCAGGGCTTGGGATATGCTGAAATGTTTTCTATACGTGTGACAAACTCCAGAATCCATCTGGTCCAATGCTTAAGCCATGTAAACTTTGAGAACAGCCCTGACAGTAACCGCTATCTTCCTATCTTGAAGAATAAAATTGTACACCAAGTGGAGGGCTTCCGACTCATTGTTAGGCCTTGAGCAAATTCATCTGGTTCAGCAGGTCCAACCTGAACCTGGTGCAGCCATCTCTGACCACATCACCTACAACCCACCACATCACTTACAATCATACTCTTAGACCCACCTTTTTCTAATGAAAAAACTCAAGAAAAAGAAGCATCACTGTATATTCATACCAATGCTTCTACTTCTTGTGTCAACAACGTAAGAAAGTTTTTCCAATACTAGTCTGTAGTTAGGGATCACAAGGTCTATAAGTACATCATCCTTTAAGTGCAGAAATTTTGCTAGAGATGCAAGATTTTTCTGGGGCATTTCCAAGAGCACCTTGACTAGATGTGGGCTCCTCATGAGATGGTAGCCAGACTAAGGGGTACACTGGTCATGTTTAATTGAACCATTATTAGATTTATAAAAAACAGCTGCACTGTTTAGTCTGAATGTATTTGAAATCCATGGCCTATTTTGCATTAGTATAAATCTTTAAGAAATCTGTTCTAATTGAAACATCAGTGAATGTCAGGCTGAAATTTGATAAAAAGTATTTACTTGGGCAGTGCTGAGTCAAAAGTCACATCTTCTTACTTTTTCCACTGGGAAGGGAACTGATGTTAATGCTTTCAGGACAAGAATAGCATCAACTCGATTATCACATCTCACACACTGATTCTTCAGAGCTTTTAACAAAGAACAGAATATTAGTCCCCACTACCCAAGGATGATATTAACCTCCACCCCTGCAAGAGTGAGGACACCACTAAAGTCAGCTTCTCCCGCTGGATGGGCCAGCTGCCAACTGTGAATGGGAACTTGGTTAGAGTAAAAGATTCTTTGTCAGGAAGTGTGGAAATTGTGACATTAGGGACTAGCCTGAGCTAGAGGATAAAGCTTCAATGAAATTTGCAAGTTCATTTTGGTTTATATACCTGTTGGAGCTGAGACATTAAATACAGAAGGCTTTTTTAATCTAGGTATTTTAAACACTACTTGATACCATGGACTAGTGTCACTCAACAGAGAACACTTCAAGGACAGAGCTATCTCTGAACCAGAATAAGACCCCAGGAAGGCTGATTCATCTCAGAGCATTTGGGACGGGGTTATTTTCTTTTGTTTCAACATTCACTTTTGACAGAACTGGCTTTTCTCTTTGCCTCTGCTGGAGAGCTAATAACTTCCTTCACATTCACTTTACTCCAGTCCCCCCACATAGGCAGGTGTACTTGATTCAATATGCAGGTATACTGTGTGCTTATTTACATTTATTTTTGTCAGTAATTTGCTATCAAGATATAAAGAGAAACACCCTAAGTAATCAAACACAGAAATGGGTCAGGAAGGTTAACTTGACAAAAAAAAACAACATGGAAGAAATAACCATAGAGCATAGGCTGTAATTCAATATTAGAGCAAGTCAATGGCAACACAAAAATAAGATTATAGTCCAACCCTCTCCTATCTCAGGCAATGCTATTTGTTCCTGAGATTTCTAAAGATGAGTTTAATTTCTGCATATATCTGAGAGTTCTACAACTGTGGCCAATATTGAAAATAAATAATTCAATTCAGCTTGCCTATATTAGCTGTGAAATTCACTTTGCTGGTGAGATAGAATTTACTTAAGGCCATGTAGGTCAATAGCTTTAGAGACAAAATTCCAAAGATGAAGGCCCTTCATAGAAAATGCTCAGTCTTCAGACTTATGTAGTTCTAAATCAGAGGGCTTAGCACCTCCAAGCCCTCCAGCTGTTGTGAGGGCAAACTTAGGAAATAAGTGGTCATTGGATATAGCCTAAATCCCCTCTCTGCTATCTGTCCTCATCCCCTGAGACAGAATACTGTTGAGGTGTGCTACCTTGATTCCCCATGAAAGCAAAGAGGCAA